CGACAATTAGCAGACTGTTGGTTAGGGCTAGGAGAGTGACTCAACCACGTGTCTCATAATCCAGCAGGCAAGATGGCACACATGCAGGTCACAGGGTTGCAAGTGCAGTAAGAGAGGACAAACCGTGATGACTGAAGTGTCTGCTTGCATCACAGCTGCTAATGCCCCATTGGCCAAAGCAGCTTATATCAACGACCCAGACTTAAAGGGTGGAGAAAAAGACTCCACTTCCTGATGGGAAGATCTGCAATGTCATACTGCAAAATCATGACAAAGGGAAAGGAAGAGTGTGTGGCCAATTTTATAATCTATCACATTGGGTTTTCTTCTGTGAGTCATTTTAAAAGTCTTTTTCTTTACTTCCTTTTTTCTTTACTTCCTTCTGTTATTCGATTTTTCAGCTTTAAGCGACATTCATTGATACCATTTAAATATCTCTTGACTCCCATCAATTACCTATTTACCAATAAATTTACTTATTTTACTTTTCCTTTCTGATGACTGTAATGTACTATGAAATGGATCCAAAAAGCAATGTAGATTTATGGGTGGATAGAGGGAAGATCAGATGGACAGATATGAGATAAAGCATGCATAGTAAGATGTTAATGTTAGAATCTAGGTGGTGGGTAGGTGGGCGTTCACTGCAAAACTCTGTGCTGTGTCTGAAATTTTTAAAATGAACTGTGAAGTTGAGGCAGGAGAATCCTTTGAGTCCAGGAGTTTGAGACCACCCTCGACAACACAGGAAGATTCCGTCTTTGCAAAAAATACAAAAAATAGATAAATAAATAAGCCGGGCATGGTAGTGTGCACCTGTAGTCCCAACTACTTGGGAGGCTGAGGTGGGATAATTGCTTGAGCCTTGGCCTGGAAGGTTGAGGCCGTTGTGAGTCATGATTACACCACTGCACTCTAGCCTAGATGAAAGAGCAAGACCCTGTCTCAAAAAAAAAAAAAAAAAAAAAAAAAAAAAAAAGAAAAGGAAATATTGGAAGAAAAAGAACATAGGAGCCACCTTGAGGGTGTTCATATTAGTCAAATCTTGGACAATTTGAGCATCAAAATAAATAATAATAATGGTTTATAATCTACTAAATTGAATAAAAATCCATGGGTTCATGTCGGTATAAACATATAAATGAATAAATACAGGAGAAAAGAAAATTCTTCTTTCTAGAATAATGTCAGCTAATAGATATAGGCATAATAATGAATAAGAAAATTGCCATTTTGCAATCATCATAGAAATACTAGATTCATGCAAGAATCATCAAAGTATGCTAAAACTAGTGGAAGAAAGTTTAATGTGGAACAGCATTTTATATAGCCTCAAATTATATTCCCACAAATTAGTTGTTAATTACAAAGGGAAAAGAATAATTTTTCCAACGAGAAACCCGGTGGTTTTCATTCTATCTAATCATCCCTCCAACCTTTTTTTTTGTTTCTATTGGATCTTCCTGCTGCGGCCCTCCACCCTCTCCTTACTCTGGGCTAGCTGTACTTTCTGCTTGCTGCAGAGCTGCCATTTTACGACTTTCCTTAACTGCTTTCCTAGACCTCCTCCTGTGAACTATTTGCCGAACTACCTTATATAAGGGTGGAATAAAGACCTCTGTAAATATATACAATAGATTAATAGATTGGTCATAGAATTCTCTTGAATTACATTTTGTTTGGCACACAGTGGAAGCTCCAAAAATATTTGCTGAATAACTCAGTCTGGTCATCCAAGTGTTACCAAAACTTTGTACCAAGAAGCTTGTAGGATTTGGTTTTCATTTCAATTGTGAAATGAAATTGCATACATTTTGTATATATGCTTACTTTTCTTTTTTAAAATTTATCTTATTACAGTGTTCTACATGTCCAAAGAAACTTCTCTATTAACAAACTAAAGACATGATATCTGAAGGTAATCTTTATGCATAATTTTCTTCTAAGAAACTCAAATGTGCTTTATATGAAGAATCACTAATAACCATTTACTTACTACTCCCTGCTACTGAGTTTTGAATAGAGAGCTAATGTATGCCTAAGGGAAAATCGATTAAAGAAACATTCTTATATAGCTCCAAAAACGAATGAACAACAACAGTCAGGGTGAAAGGGGGAGGGTGCTCCCTTTAACTTGAAATGCTTAAACAAATACGGGATTTTAGTGAAGATGGGAGTCTTGAAATGTATCCTTAATGTCCAGATACTCACAAGATAACTTTCAATTATCCAGAATTATTTTTTACTCTATAGAGCAATTCTTCCAAAATAGTGCATCAATTTATTCTCAGAAGTTATCTCATTCGAGTAAAGTGACTCTCACCCAAGAGAGACACTGGTAGCAAAGGGCAGTAGTTACTTAAATAGCAGTGAAACCGATACTAGAGAACTGCCAACTGATGAAAATTTAATCAGCAGTATATGGGATTGGAATGGGCTTATACAGGGAGTAATTCTGAATATAAGGTGTTCAGTAGTTTCTATTTCTTTAAAATTTTCTGTACAAAGTGGAAAAAATTTACACACCCATGTTTGAAAAATGGGTAATTTTTCTTTCATTCATCAATTTTTAAAGGTAAATATGCTAGTAAATTAAGGAGACAAATAGTTATCGCACGTTGTAAAAAATCTAGGGCCCTGGTCCCTTACCATTGCCTTTTTTCCATTCCGCACAAGAGATGTGTCTTCCCAGGTGACACAGGAGCCATCCTTGATGTTTTTTGTTTCATCAAGTCTATTTGGGTGTTCCTAGTCCATGCTTCTTCCCCTCTAGATTCCCCCATCTACCTCATACTCCAGGTTTATCCTGAGTGTGGAGTAAGGAAGGATGAACACCACGTTTACATTTTCCTTTTGTTCTTCACCTTCTCTCTCTTAGACTCTTCCGCTCAGCACCAAAAGGACTTTCTTTCTTGCACTGCAGGAACTTCTCTTACATCAAATCCTTACACTGTTTACTTTCATTTATTGTAAAAATATTACAGTCTTCTGAATCTGACTTCTGTAAGCCTCTTTTCTCCTTAACAACAAAGTCTCCTCCAAAAATCATAAGTGCTTACTTTCAGGCTATTGTCTCAACGTGGACTTGAAACACACTATTTTGAAACTCAAAGCTGCCTTTAGCAGGGTTCTGTCCATTCAAAGAGGCAACTCTTTCCACTGGTTCAATCAGTGGGGTTAATGATAGGCCCAGAACTAGGAATTTTCGAGAAAGAAAATCCATTTACTTAATATTCCCAAAATGTATTTGTTATGCTGAGAACACACACCAAGAATACATGGCATTTCATCACATAGATGAAAAACTAACATCATCATAAGCAAGTTTGGAAGCAGTGAAACACACCCCTCGGAAGGCATTATGAATGCTCCCTAATATCTGATTCTCCCTTCCCAGTCCCATTGCAGTTTGGCGGAGCCATATGAAAGGTTCTAGCTAGTGAAATACAAGTGGAAGTGGGAGGGCTGAGGTAGTGACAAGCCAATGCATGATGCTATAGATTCCCTCTTCTGCAGCGAAAGTGGAATCTCATGTTGGGACGGCAGAGTTACAAGATCAAAGTGGTTTGGATTGCTCAGACACTGGTTGGAGGACAACTCTAAGCCTGTTCCATATTAGACTTTGTGTGAGCAAAGAACAAATGTTTATTAAGATACTACCTTTGAGTTTAAAATTGAAATTGAGTGCCTGCTATACCAAGTGTTAGAGACATATCGGTATACAAAACACACAATTTTTGCCCTCATGGAGGTTACATTCTAGTGGGGAAGTCAGATAAAAATTAAATCAACAAACAAAATACTTGCAAGTTAGGGTAAGTGTTATGAAGGAACTAATGGCTGCGCTAGAGGTTAACAAGGGAGGGAATGTACTTTAGATAGTATGATGATGAGGAGAGGAGACCTTTCAACTAAGACATGAAGAAAGGGAGAAAACATTCTAGGTCCCATGAGGCAAGAAAGACCTTGGTGAGTTGAGAAACTAAAAAGACCACTGTGACTCAGTGGTAACAAATGAGGAACAGGAGGCAAAATATGAAGTTGCAGAGAAAGACCATCATGTTGTGGTAGGGAGTTTGGTTTTCATTCTAAGCCATCAGATAGTATCACCTTAATCTTCCTTCGGTCAATGTCACAAAACTAACCATATTTATGTTAACTTTCTTTTCCCCGTCATCTGCCTCAACAAATGTCATGTCCCTCATCTTTCTGATGGCTAATTACTCTCTTTGTATCCTCCCTCCTCTGGTTACCCTTTCTCCTCCTCTTTTCGTATACTTTGCTTCTTCATTATCTTCCCAATGGGTCAGTCCTGTCAACCAACCTACAAGACACCACCCATCCCCGACCCTCTTCCATGGGTTATCAACTGGTAATGATTCTACTAACCACTCAGATGTTCTGGCCCCAAAACCAGGATCTATCCTTGACCACTCCCTTTACTTTCCTATGCAATTCATTGGTAAATTCTTCAGTTTTAAACTCAAAGATATTAACCGTTTGGTTCACTCTTGTTAATGTTAGCTTTCATGATCTTGTCTTGATTTCTGAAATGATCTCATGATTTGCCTCCTTGCTTCCATTCTTTCCTTCCTCTAATGTTTTATTTATGCATCAGCCAAGGGTGGCTACTTATTTTAACCTAGAATAACTTAATTAAAATAAACAAAACTTTTTATAAATTGTGGTAAAATAGGCCAGGCGCAGTGGCTCACGCCTGTAATCCCAGCACTTTGTGAGGTTGAAGTGGGTGGATCACTTGAGGCCAGGAGTTCGAGACCAGCCTGGCCAACGCTGCAAAAGCCAGTCTCTACTAAAAATACAAAAATTAGCCAGGCATGGTGGCATGCACCTGTAGTCCCAGCTGCTCAGGAGGCTGAGGCAAGAGAATAGCTTGAACCTGGCAGGCGGAGGTTGCAGTGAGCTGAGATTGTGCCACTGCACTCCAGCCTGGGTGACAGATTGAGACTCTGTCTCAAAAAAAAAAAAAAAAAAAAAAATTGTGGTAAAATAAACTTTTACTATAATGAAAGTAGTCTATGTGCTGCAAAAGTTACAATGAAAAAGATAGGCAAACATAAGTAAGAAAATACACATTTCCACTTCCAAAGATTACCACTACTAACACCTTAGGGTATAAGGCCACTATTTTTTTCATTGTACCTAAATACACAGATGTGCATTTTTAAACCAAAATGGGATGCTGTAACATACTACTTTGTGACTTGCTCTTTTCAGTTAATGATCTTTTCCATGGCAATACAGTTCTATTTTATCCAATACTCAGTCCATCTACATTCATATTTCTTTAATGTTCCTGAAAATGCATTTTATAGTCTGTTCAAACTAGGATCCAATTCAAACTGTTATGTCCCTTAAATTTCTTTTCATAAAGCAGTTGCTTTTTTCATGACAAATTGTTGAAGAGATGGGCCAGTTATCCTGCAGAATGTTTCACCTTCTGGTTTCACCTTCTGTCTAGTTACTTCCTCTGGCATCATTTAGTTTGTTCATCTATCAGTTGTATTTTTTTATAAAGTCTGTTAGATGCAAAGGCTTGATAGATTCAAGTTAAATATTTTTGCCTGGAATATATCATGATGATACTGTATACTACATTCCATCAAAAGACAAACTATCCGATTGAGCTACAACGTGGCCTTTAAAAAATGTAAATTATAAATGTACATAGCTTCCTCTGCATTTATTATACAATACTAAACAAATTCTTCAACTTGGACTACAAGTTTCTGAACGATTTGATGTCTGCTTACTCATCCAACTTTATTCCATCCCAATTCTATTTGTTTTTAAGAGTCTTGTCATATGTTTCGTTTCTACTCCCGAAACACGGTAAGTGCTTGCCTCCTAGGGCCTCTGCACGCAGGCTTTTGGTTTGGAGACTCTCCTTTGCCACTCCACCTCTCTCCACTCTTCTCCTCTCCTGATGTCAAGCATCTTCTCAAATTACAGGTGTCGTTTTCAATATATTTAAAATTTTGTTCTTTCTACAAAACAGCAACCACAGACACAGGTTCATTTTCAGTTCACCTACTCCGGAGAAAACCTACTTTCTTTATCTTATTTAAATTAGGGTCCTCCAAGCGATCTTAACATCTCCTAAATCCCAAGTACCCTGTTTTTCTTCCTGATACTTTTTCCGTTTACCTTAATATCTGTGTCAACCTGACAGTAAGCTGCACGATGGCAGGGGTCTTGCCTACCAGGTTCCCTGTGCACTCCGTTCCTGTGCACAGCAGCCCGTCAACAGTAGCTTAATAAACATCATAGGTCACAATAACCCTGGGACCGCATCTTGGCGAGGTAGCCGCAAACTCTCGCAGGTGGCAGTGACAGGAGTACTTCTCCAGGGGGTTGTTCGAGTGGATGAATACTCTTACGTGAAAGTGCTCAGTACACCACTGCGGCAAGAAGGAGGAAGGGAAGAATTCCAGATGCGGAGAAAGTAGTATTTTACAGCATAGCACAGCCTGAACTGGGTCCAGGAGGGCGTCGCCGCCGCGACACCTTCACGTGACCGCGAACGGCTTAAGGACCCCGCATCCAGTGCGCTTGCGCTGGGGCTCCCGGAAGTGGCCGGACCCGGAACGCAGGCGGAGCGCACGTCCGTCAGCCCGTCAGTCCGCCAGTCCGCCAGACCCGCACCTCTCTCTTCTCGGCCGTCGTAGGCTGTCCGCTGTCTGTTTGGCCCGAACGGCGGCGGAGGCGCTGATCATGGCGACGTTCATCTCGGTGCAGCTGAAAAAGACCTCAGAGGTGGACCTGGCCAAGCCGCTGGTGAAGTTCATCCAGCAGACTTACCCAAGCGGCGGGGAAGAGCAGGCCCAGTACTGTCGCGCGGCGGAGGAGCTCAGCAAGCTGCGCCGCGCCGCAGTCGGTCGCCCGCTGGACAAGCACGAGGGCGCGCTCGAGACGCTCCTGAGGTGGGCGCGGGGCTGGGAGTGGGTAGTTTGTTTGCCAGCAGTCCCTCGCCCCCCCTCTTCCTGTCTCCCCCCTTCCTTCAGTCCTGTAACCTGGGCCGAGCCGCCCCGCCCCGGCCTGACCGGGCGCGTAGGTGTGGTCTGCATTCTTTGCTGGTGAAAAGGACCCGCCCTGCAGGCCGGCTGTGACTGCCCGCTTGTCCTGCCTGCCCGCCTGCCCCAGCCCTTGGTCGGCGAGGGCTCCGTCGATCAGGTGCCTGGGAGCAGCAGTCTGCCATGTACTGATTTCTCTTGCCACATTTACTTAGAAGTAGTTTTCACTTTTTTGGGTCTCTGAAGCTTCCCCTTTCCCCCCATTTTTCCATCACTGTCTTTCTTGGGCCAAATTTAGATTTCATAATAGTAGTTGCTTGAAGGAAGTGGGCGAAGTGAGGGAATTGGGACACTGGACCAAATGTCTGATCAACTCATCACATTGTCCACATGAAATGGACCATCTTCCTCAGTTCAAAATAATCAAATGACAGATGGAGAATTCTGAAAGTTAGGAGCTACAAGTATTTGAAATAAAACTCTAGTTACATAATAGAACCGTTCAAGGTAGGTTATTTAAAAGCAGTTTGTTCACAAACAGGTATATACATAATAAAGTAAATTTGTTATTTTAGCAAATGCTTATTTAGCTCATTCTGATTTAATGAGGGTTCGTTTCATTATACTTAATAGTTATAAGAACATTTTTATAGGATTTTTTAGTTAAAAATTTCTTTTGCCTACCTTGTTCATCTCCGTATAGTATATTCTATTTGTTTCATAAGAGAATCACAACTATATTCCAATCCAAGTAGCAGAAACCCAGGCTAAACTAGCTTGAGCTGAGAAAAGACTTATTCTGTCGGGCACGGTGGCTCACGCCTGTAATCCCAGTACTTTGGGAGGCCAAGGCGGGTGGATCACGAGGTCAGGAGATCGAGACTACCCTGGCTAACCCGGTGAAACCCCGTCTCTACTAAAAATACAAAAAATTAGCCTGGCGTGATGGTGGGCGCCTGTAGTCCCAGTTACTTGGGAGGCTGAAGCAGGAGAATGGCGTGAACCCGGAAGGCGGAACCTGCAGTGAGCTGAAATCGTCACTGCACTGTAGCCTGGGTGACAGAGCGAGACTCCGTCTCAAAAAAAAGAAAGAAAAGACTTATTCTGCTAACTGAAAAGTCTAGGGATATTCTTTCCTTAGCTTTAGGTATCACTGGAGATCGTCTTGCCTCCATGATGCTTCCCTCCAAAGCTTTGTTCCTGTATTGAGAGGGATGGCTGTAGTGTAATTACAATCGTCCACAACACTCAGTATCTTACAGAAGAGAGTGCTTTTCTCCTTAGCTCTGGTGGAAGTCCGTGGGAGGCTTCTGGGTTTGTTTGCACCCATTTATGATGGTGGGAAATGGGCTAAGTTAATTGCCCTTATCTGAGTCTTTCAACCGATTTAATTTCCTCTTACCCCATGTGTCAAAGCAAGATGAGTCCGGGCTGGGGAAGGGTTGGTTCTCCAAAGGAAGGGATATTGAATAGATTGCTCAGAGGAATTAAGACCCCTTGGTTTCAAATTTTTAGAGCTAGAACTGTTGGGCTGCAAGGGTAATTAGTCTAATAGCATAAGCAATTTTTTTTTAAGTTAACTTAGGAATACTTAGCCATTCTTTAGAATTAACATAATTAAACAATTTCAAGGTAATTTTTATGTAGGCATGAATAGCATTCAGTGAGGATTTTCCATTAGTAATATTAAGAAAACATAGTTGTGGTATAATGAACCCTGTGATAAAAATCTTGTTGAATATATCAAATTTGGTTCCAGCCCTCAGATTTGGGGTCTTCAGAAGCAATTGGTGCATGGGTTTTAGACTAACAGACATGGGAGGTTGGTGGATAATGGTTTGAATAAGGTTCTCCTGTGAACTTTAAAACTTAATTCATTTGTTCATTCTTTTATTCTTTTTACCAGACTTAAATGTGTGAACTGTTCCTAGGTAGTGAACCTGTTGTAGATATAGTCTCTTTGAAACTAACCATGTTTCTTTAGCCACCTCTATATAATCCCCTCCTGCCACATTAATTCAACAAATATTAAGTATTTTCACTTTTTGGTCTTCTAGAGGGGTTAGGGTAAGCTTGGAGATATTACTAAGGTTTATAATGGAGATAGGTACAGAGGTTCCTTAGGAATATATGCTGTAAAATTAGATGTGAATCAGTTGTGTGATGTTCATTCAAATCCAGCAGAATATTTTACTTTTACTAATGATGTTTGGATAATTGTGTAAACTTAACAATTTTTTAACTTAATGAACTTTTAAACTAATGAACTTTTAAAAAGAGAGTTTAAACTAATTCCTAAAGAATTGAAGCTAGCTTGGTAAGTCCTGATATGCAGCTCCATATATAGCTTCAGTGATAGACTTGTTTTCCTATTACTAACTTGTAGGTGTTCTATTAAAATTTCCTACAATGTACATTTATGCATATTATAATAATGAGAATGAGTACTTAAAACCTTATTTGTTCTGGGTATGGTAGCATGCACTCATAATTCCAGCTGAGGCAGAAGTATCACTAGAGCCCAGGAGTTTGAGGCCAGCCTGAACAACATACTGAGACCCTGTCTCAAAACAAAACAAAACAAAACAACAACAACAAAACCCTTTTGTATGCTACTTCTTCCTTTATAAAGTGGCTGTTACTAAAAATTGATTAGACCTTGGTAAATGGTGACCTAGGGTGATCAAATGGGAACCCTGCTGGTTTTTTATTTTTTATTTTGTATTTTATTTGAAGCTCCAGATATACCAGTTACCAGCATTGTATAATTTCTTTTGTGGTGATCAATTTCTTTAGAGAGAAAGCTTCTAGTCTCCTTCTATGAAAAAGTCTGCTTATCAGCTTTCTAAATTTTATTCTGGGGAACGGAGGTTGGGGATCTTAACAATCATGTATGCAGTCTGTCAGGTACATCTATTTTTAGTATGACACCTGCATTAGGGTTAGGTTCATTTCTATGTGGCAGATCCCAAATTATCTGAGTTAATATTTTATTCTTTTGTAAAAAGTTGGCAGGTAGGTAGTTCTGGTAGCCCAGGGCTGGTATAGTGGTTCTGCAAAGTTAATTGGGGCTCAGATTCCTTTCAGCTTTCTGCTGTTTAAAACCTAGAATATTGTTCTCAGGTCCAGGTTGCAATCATCCAAGTTCCAGGTACAGGGCTTGCCCTTTAGGGTGTTTCCTGGCAACTGTTCCACAACACCCTGCCTATATGTTACCAGCCATCATGTGTGTCCACTTCTCATAGGATGCTGGGAAAAGGAATTTTCATTATGAACAGCTGTATACTCAGCTAAAGATACATGGTTTTGTTAATAAGGAATAGGATAGACTGATAATGATGTAGTCAGTTAGCACTCCCTACCCCACTTAACAGTGCTTGATCTCCACCTTAGTTGTATTTGATATCTCTGACTTTTTTTTTTTTTTTGAGGCAGAGTTTCGCTCTTGTTGCCCAGGTTGGAGTGCAATGGCACTATCTTGGCTCACTGCAACCTCCGCCTCCCAGATTCAAGCAATTCTCCTGTCTCAGCCTCCTGAGTAGCTGGAATTTATAGGCATGCGCCACTCTGCCCGGCTAATTTTGTATTTTTAGTAGAGACGGGTTTCTCCATGTTGCTCAGGCTGGTCTCGAACTCCTGACCTCAGGTAATCCACCCGCCTCGGCCTCCCAAAGTGCTGGGGTTATAGGCCTGAGCCACTGCGCCGGGCCAATCTCTGACATTTTTCTTAAGAGTGAACCTACCCTCAGAGCAGAGAGGATCTGGGAGCTTGAGGTTTTCTTTGAAGGATTTTTGACCACACCTTGTCGTTCCACCCTCACGTTGAACTATATTCAGAGGTACCTCATGTTTCTTAATTCAGATCCTTTTCTGGCTTCTCTGGCATGATTTGGCTTCTACTTTGGCTCCCTTCCCTCTTAGCCAGTTAAGATTTTGGCTTTCTCTTTTTTATTCACTTTTCACCTTTCAATAAATTTTGTTGAAACCTCTTATATCCTGTGTGCCCTTTCCCATTCTTTTTGTCCATGTTCATGTACATCTTTTACATTTTTAAATTCTTGTTTTAGTGGGTTTTGGTGGGAAGCAAAGAAGGGTGTTTATTCTGATTTATTTAACTGTAAGAGGAAGGTGTTTACATTTTCAGCTCTCCACAGTGCTTGTAACAATTTACATTCTCATCAGCAGGTATATGGGAGTATTTTATTCCTCCGTATCCTTGCT